TTTGATTGGGTAACTAAAATTATAGATCTTGGTGGCAGGGGCGTATTAGCCGCGAGGCAAACAAGGCATTTGCCTTGGGCGGCATTTTTCAGGGGGCGGCAAAAAACGCCGCCCCCCAAATGCCCAGGGCAAATGCCTAGTTAGCCTCACGGCTAACTGACATCCCGAGCGGGCGGGCGGCGCTGGCAGGTAGACGGCTGGCAAGGGAGCACTTCCTATGAGCTCTCTGCTCAGCTCCCTCGCGTGCCGGCTGCAGAGTGAGGCTGGGAGCCGGAAGATGACGTCATCTTCCGGCTCCCAGCCTCACTCTGCAGCCGGCACACGAGGGAGCTGAGCAGTCAGCTCATAGGAAGTGCTCCCTCGCCAGCCGCCCGCCTGACCTGCAGCCACCGGACCACCAGGGATAGAGACCGCCCCCCAGCACTCCCAAAGGTAAGGAGGTTGGGGGGGGATTTAAATTAAAAAAAAAGTTAATGTGTGTGTGTGTTTGTGTCTGACTGTGTTTGTGGTGTGTGTGTGTTTGTGTCTGACTGTGTTTGTGTGTGTGTGACTGTGTGTGTTTGTGTCTGACTGTGTCTGTGTATGTGTCTGACTGTGTGTGTGTGTATGTGTCTGACTGTGTTTGTGAGTGTGTGTGTGTTTGTGTCTGTGTGTGTGACTGTGTGTGTGTTTGTCTGTGTGTGTGTGTGTCTGACTGTGTTTGTGTCTGTCTGTGTTTGTGTGTGACTGTGTGTGTGTTTGTGTCTGTGTATGTGTCTGACTGTGTGTGTGTGTATGTGTCTGACTGTGTGTGTTTGTGTGTGTGTTTGTGTCTGACTGTGTGTGTGTCTGATGTGTGTGTTTGTGTCTGTGTTTGTGTGTTTGTGAGTGTGTGTGTGTGTGTGTCTGACTGTGTGTGTGTGTGTGTTTGTGTCTGACTGTGTGTCTGATGTGTGTGTGTGTGTCTGACTGTGTGTGTGTGTGTTTGTGTCTGACTGTGTGTGTGTTTGTGTCTGACTGTGTGTGTCTCTGACTGTGTGTGTGTGTGTTTGTGTCTGTGCATGTGTCTGACTGTGTGTGTGTGTGTCTGACTGTGTGTGTGTGTTTGTGTCTGACTCTGTGTCTGTATTTAGAAGGTGGGGCGGGGGGGGAGGGTTGGGTGGGGGTGGCGCGGGGGGAGGGGGGCGCCTGAGTTTTGTCCTGCCTAGGGCAGCACAAAACCAGGATACACCACTGCTTGGTGGTGCAGTAGACATTGCTTACCTAGATTTCAGTAAGACTTTTGACACTGTTGCACATAGAAGTCTTATAAATAAACTGCAATCTTTACGTTTGGATTCCAATATTGTTGAATGGGTAAGGCAGTGGCTGAGTGACAGGGAACAGAGCGTTGTAGTCAATAGAGTATATTCGAAGCATGTGCTTGTCCCCAGTGGGGTACCTCAGGGATCTGTACTTGGACCCATTCTCTAATATTTTTATTAGTGATATTGCAGAAGGTCTTGATGGTAAGGTATGTCTTTTTGCTGATGATACTAAGATATGTAACAGGGTTGATGTTACAGGAGGGATAAGCCAAATGGCAAATGATTTAGGTAAACTAGAAAAATGGTCAGAGTTGTGGCAACTGAGATTAAATGTGGATAAGTGCAAGATAATGCATCTTGGATGTAAAAACCCAAGGGCATAGTACAGAATATTTGATAGAGTCCTAACCTCAACATCTGAGGAAATGGATTTAGGGGTGATTATTTCTGATAATCACCCCTATCTATCCTCCCATATACACAAGTATGTCCTGTCTAGGCCCTTACGATCTGCTGAAGACTTACGTCTGTCTTCTGTCCGTACTCTTTCTCAAGGGCTGCACCGTTCCTGTGGAACTCGCTTCCCTCCTCCGTTAGATGCTCTCCCAGTCTCCACTCCTTCAAAAAATCGTTAAAAACCCACTTCTTCATAAAAGCGTATCAATTAAACTGTTAATAGCTCCTGACTGATTCCTCTTCTGCAACTGTCACTAGTCTAATACAATCCTTACCTTTTTGTGTCATTTTACCCCACTCCCTCCAGCATGTAAGCTCATTGAGCAGGGCCCTCAATCCCTCTGTTCCTGTGTGTCAACTTGTCTGGTTACAACTGCATGTCTGTTCGTCCACCCATTGTAAAGCGCTGCAGAATTTGATGGCGCTATATAAATAACATAATAATAATAATAATAATAATAACTAAAAGGAAGGCAGACAATGTAATAGAGCAGCAGGAAATGCTAGCAGAAAGGCCCTGGGGAGATGGCACATGTATGAGTGGGGGGGATAGATGCGTGTGATTGGTTGTGTATGAATGTGTGGGTGGGATTATGTGGGGGGTGGTCTTACCTCAGTGCCACTTGGGATTCGTGCCAGCAAACAGCTTCCTGTCCTCCTGCTCCTGTTTGTCCTGGGCCTGTAGGTTTACCAGCTTGAGGGATAGAGGCTATTCTGGCTTCCCTCAGAGCTGCTGCTGTGCTGAATGGTGGCTGGCAACTCCGCAAGCAATATGCTCGCCACACCCCAGGCATGGCTGCCGGTGTGGATCCCCCCTGCGGCCTACCTCCTTCTGGGGTCTCCCCTGTGGCCTCTGCTCCCGGGGGCCGCACTAGCACCAGTCGGTATTCTCGCCCGCCAGTTAAGCTGTCCGCTGACACTACTCCTTTGGCCCAGTCGAGGAGTAGGAGCCTGGGCCTGAGGCATCGCCAGGACCACGTGTCTGGGGCTCAAGACACCCAGCCTACAACTCTAGGACGGAATGTGCGGCCGGCGTGGCCTACCCTGCGGGCTCCTGGTTTACGGCCAACATTTCCTACATGGCCTGCCCCTGCCTCTGACGGTGGATCGCGGGCCGGGGGCAGTGGACGGCGGTTTGCACCTTCCCGGCAGCGAGTGGCTGCCCAGCAGCCTTCCAGCTCTCCCTGTGGCAGGTGGGACTGGGTCCAGGGCCCCTGTGGTGAGTAGGCCCGCTCACCTCCTTTGCATTGCTCTTTTCTTAGGACCTGGCTGCTGTTACTGGAACTGCCCAGCAGGTGGTGCCTGGAACACCTTTGAGGACCTCAGTGGATGCTGGAATTCCTGTCACTTTGCCTCAACCTTCTGTGTTTGCTGTGCCGAGTTCGGAATGCCAGGCTGCAACAGGTAATTGTGATGTTCCCTCCTCTTCTAGTCATTCAGGTCCTGCACTAAGGGGTTCCTCTCAGGTCTTCGTGGGTTTTTAGATCAGTGGGAGCAAGGTGCGGCTGTTAGCAGGGACTCCTCTATGGATAGTCAGGTTCGGTCGGTTTGGTCCCCAGCCCAGCACCCTCCCTCTGTTCAGTCCTCAGGGCCCCTCATCCTTGGTGGGTAGTAGTCCATTGCCTTCAGCACCTCCGGGTCCCCTTTTGCCTGCGGCATCCTGCGCTATTGCTAGCGCGGGCGACGATTCTCTTGAGGTGGGCGTTTCGGACGTAGTGCATGGCGCTGCTTACATGTGCTGGTCTGGTCCACTGGGCTTGCACTTGAAGCAGGAAATGAGGGAAAAAATTTGGAAAGGGGAGTTCATGGAAATATTATCCCTCCTGCCATTGGAGAAAACTCCTCCGGTGGTGGAAAAGGACAGTATGGAGTCCGAGAAGGACAGGCAAAGGTACCTCTATTGAAAAATTCCCAAGACATTTGGGAATTGGATTTGGGTATTTTCTATCTTGGCTAGCGTTGTGGGGGAGAAGTCTCCCCAGAAGTGCTCTGCGTTTTTCTGCTATCAGGACACTATCTGGAATGCATGTCGTACCTATGGAGGGCTGGGTTGGTGGAGGTACAACGAACAGTTTTGTCAGCGGCTGGCGGTGCGACCCTCGCTGTCCTGGGACCAGATGGATATAGGCCCTTTGGGGCCATGCGGATTGGGGAGCTGGTGTGCCCTAGACATCAGCAGGTGGGGGGGGGGCTGTTTTGTGATGTTACTTGCACAGCGGACCAGATTTCCTTCAGGATTCAACGCTCGAAGACTGATGTCTTTGGGAGGAGTAAGTGGGTCTGACTGGGGGCTGTGCCGGATTTGTCCCATTTTTTCCTTCGGTGAGTTCTGTTCCTTACGCCCAGCTTCTCCAGCCCTCCTCCTTTTGGTGCATGAGGATGGTATCTTTCTCTCCCACTTCCAATTTATTAGGATTGGGGCTCGAATTTCTGGGTGTTGATGCCAGGAAGTTCGGGGGCACTCAATCCATATAGGGGTAGCTACTGAGGCCTCTAGGCTTGGCATGCCGGCGCAGGTAGTCCAAAGAATCGGGAGGTGGGAGTCAAGGCATTACATTTCTTATGTTTGCACAGCTTGTCTCCTGAGTTGATTTCTCTCCGCAGGACTTGGATCATGGGACACTCCTATGTCTATTGGGCCAGGGGCTGTGCGGTGGTCTGGCCTGGAGGCAAGTGGTTGGGTTTTACGCCTTCAGAAGCAGAGGTTCGGTGGTTTGGTACAAGAGGCATGAGGTGGGTGTGGCTCCTCCCTGACCTGGAGGTACTCGGTTGGAGTATGGAGAGTTCTGTTACAGTGGTGGCAGCAGTGGGATGGCTTTCTAGCGTGAGGAGCAGCATCCTGGAGACACCTGAATTATTACGGAGCGATATGGAGCCAGCAAGTCCCTGGACAGCGCTCGAAGTGGAGGATGAGTTCGACTAGAGGTTACAGAGCCTCTTGGCCCCATTGGGTGAGCCAGTATCAGAGGCAACCAGGTTGGACTGCAGGGAGGGCGCCAGGAAAGAGATGTGGGACGAAGGGGAGACATCAATCTCCCAGACGGCGCAGATGGGACCGTGGTCTCTGTGCCTGACCCACAGGGATGCGGGACAGCCTGTACAGATCCCCAGCTACCATCGCCGGAGTAGCCGGAGGAGGGGGTAAGTGATGTCTCTCCTCTCCAGCCAACCAGGCTACCCCAGCAACGGGGCAGAGTGCAGCTGTCCCCCAAGTCCCCACAGCGTGTTGCCCCATCACCCCAGAGGAATACCCAGGTGCAGTAACTGTTTGTTGTGGGTGGGCTGCTCTTGTAACTGTTTATTGTGGGTGGGCTACTCTGGCACTTGCTTATTGTGGGTGGATCGACTAACGTAGGCACTGACCGACAGAAGGTCAGGTGCCTGGTTAGTCTTCCCCCCATAGGGGAGATATGTGACAAACTGCCATTTGCCAATAGGCATTGGAGAGGACTGGTTGCCGGCCTGCTGCCTTTAGACTATGGCCCCATGTTGAAACGATTGATTTTCCAATGCAAAGACATGAAAGCCGGGTCATTTGGTACTTGCCCTATTTGAACAGTGATACCCCAGATAGCTATGCCATGGAGCCCATTCGTATAACGAAAGACTATGTGAAAGGCTTTGGCTCCATGGCAATTGAACTGTATGTATGTGATCTAAACGCGCTTCAGTTATAATGTGCGCTCAGATCTGAGCTATCTGGGGATATGTACATCCTGTTTTTTGCAAAAGCAGCACAGTTATATATTTTTATGTATTTTATTGTCTTTTGCGTTCAATGGAGTTTTGCCTCTGTCCTTGGAGATAATTGGATTACTTCCCAATTATCTCCAGGATAGAAGACTCTGTGGAACTGGTTTTGGGCAGAAAAGCAATGCTTCATTTGGTCACAAAGGACTTCGATTTATCTTTTGATCTACTGGACAGATTTTTAGGATTTTTGAGTATACTTATATTTAAAGGAGGCTGATTTCAAATATGTAATTTTAAAGTTATTAATGTTGTGTAAAAACTGTATATTTTCTGCCTGTGATAATTAAGTTAGTCTATTGTGTTGAGATAATTGTATCACAGGCAGAGGGGAGAATTTCTGCTGGGAGTGGTTTACTTTATTGTATGTGTTGTAATGTGTTTATTGGTTGTTCTGCAAAACCCTGTGGGTGGTCCTATGTTGGGAAAACCTGCATAAAAGAAGGCCCTTTGGTGCCAAGTAAAACAGTTCTTCTTGACCCTCATCATGTAGTCTTGTCTCCTGATTGGAAGGGACAGCTATATTCACACTGGGGATTGCTATGCTCTGCATACTCCCTTGAGCTTTAATCACTTAGCTCCTGTAAGAGCTTGTTCCTGATACGCTCTCCTGGAGGAGAGGTCTTCCCCACATGGTCCTGGAGGACAGAAGCTGATCCAGGGTGGACAGAAGACGGCGAGACTCCAGTTAAGTTACGGCGGTTGTGGAGTCTTCGGTGGTTGTGGTGTCCAGTGCGGTGCTTGTGGTCCTCGGCGCAGGCTAGGAAGCGTCTATCAACGAAGGTACTCGGTCGGAGTACGGGGAGTTCCGTTACAGATGTGTTATACAGTAATTATCATATGATATAATAAATGATGTGGCCTGTTTCATCCATACTATGTTGTCTGTCATTGTTTGGGGGGTGAATTGGGTTGGTTTATGTTATTATGCTGCATCACGATTCCCCACTACATACATACATGCTTGGTTGTATAGGGAGAGGTATTAGCAGTAGAAAGAGGGAAGTGCTCATGTCATTGTACAGAACACTGGTGAGACCTCACTTGGAGTATTGTACACAGTACTGGAGACCGGATCTTCAGAAGGATATTGATACCTTAGAGAGGGTTCAGAGAAGGGCTACTAAACTGGTTCATGGATTGCGGGATAAAACTTACCAGGAAAGGTTAAAGGATCTTAACATGTATAGCTTGGAGGAAAGACGAGACGGGGGGATATGATAGAAACATTTAAATATATAAAGGTAATCAACACAGTAAAGGAGGAGACTATATTTAAAAGAAGAAAAACTACCACAACAAGAGGACATAGTCTTAAATTAGAGGGACAAAGGTTTAAAAATAATATCAGGAAGTATTACTTTACTGAGAGGGTAGTGGATGCATGGAATAGCCTTCCAGCTGAAGTGGTAGAGGTTAACACTGTAAAGGAGTTTAAGCATGCGTGGGATAGGCATAAGGCTATCCTAACTATAAGATAAGGCCAGGGACTAATGAAAGTATTTAGAAAATTGGGCAGACTAGATGGGCCAAATGGTTCTTATATGCAGTCACATTCTAGGTTTCTATGCTTCTTTGTACCAGTGTAAAATCCCTCCTGAGATGTGACCTGTTAGCCAACTACAAGAAACGTTTGCCCTCTGTGATTGCCAGCAAGGGTTTTGCCACCAAGTACTAAGTCAAAGGGATCAAATACTTATTTCACTCGTTGACATGCAAATCAATTTATAACGTTTTTGACTTGTGTTTTTCTATCTCTCACTGTTAAAATACACCTACCATTAAAATTATAGACTGATCATTCCTTTGTCAGTGGAGAAACGTTCAAAATCAGCAGGGGATCAAATACTTTTTTCCCTCACTGTATATCACTTCAGCATTGTATTCCTTGTAGTTTCACAAAAAACATAATATTTATTGAAGACGGTAGGCAAATATTATCCCACCCTATAATGCAAATTGTTTTGTTTTTTTCTTAAGCACCAAAATAACCTTAATATAGTGGTTTTGGTGTATGGATCATGCCCTGCATTCTCATTACTCAATTCACTGATGGAATGAGAAAATATTGCAGGCCAAAATGTATAGGTAAAATGCAGTGAGGACAACACCAAGAGTGGTGATGGTGCCAGCTGTGATGAAGGAATCTGAAATACTGTCGAAACCTGGTACACATTGGCATAATAATGCAGAGTGAACTCACACCTTGTCATACCAACTCAGATCGGAATGGACCTTGGTGGACGACAAAGAAAGGTAAGAGTCAAACCATTTGCACGCTGAGGGTACCCATCAGTGCTAAATGCCCCGTGCAAGAATGGGCAAATGGTAGATCCCAGCTGGCAAAAGTTAATGGGAGTTGTAAAACAGAACGGAATCTACCTTTTAGCCATCCTTGCAATGGGGGGGGGGAGGGGGGCGGCTTACAAATTCTTGCACTAAGGCCCTGTGTTCTTTATTATTGCCACGGACCTGCAGACAGTGCACGAGAATCCCTGGCACCATAACCACTATAGTGGTGATAGTGTTTAGTGTGTCCCTTTAAGCTATGTGTACTGGGTCTCCATGTACTGCAGGTCTCCCTACTGTCCAAGTTAAGGTTTCACGGTCCTGTTTTACCATTCCGACTTTGTTTCCTGTGTTCCATTTCTGGGGACACGAAGGGATATTTTCCCGCAAAGCGTAGCTCATGGGCATCATTAGACGCATTTGCACTAGGAGCACACAGGAAGACCTGCAACAGTTCTTCCTGCATGGTCTACGCTTTGTGGGTCAGCCTGTGTGATTGTCATGCTAATTCTTTGGGCGGGTCTCCCCCATTTCTGTGTAAATTCTCCTCCTTTGGTAAGTGCAAGTGATGCAATCTGTATGACTAGTCTGCATTTTTTACCCCCATTCACTGGTGTCCTGCTTTACAAGATTCTGGTTTTACATAGTTATATAGTTACATAACTGAAAAGAAACTTGCGTCCATCAAGTTCAGCCTTCATCACATATGTTTTTGCTCTTGATCCAAAAGAAGGCAAATAACCTAGTCTGTAGCATTTCCAATTTTGCAACAAACTAGGAAAAAATTCCTTCTTGACCCCAAAATAGCAGTCAGATGTCTCCTTGCATCAAGCAGCTATTACCCCACTAATTACAAATTATATACCTGTATGTTATGTTTTTGCAAGTATTTATCCAATTGCTGTTTAAACATCTGTATTGACTCTGACAAAACCACCTCTTCAGGCAGAGAATTCCATATCCTTATTGCTCTTACTGTAAAAAAAACTTTTCTTCGCCTTAGATGAAATCTCCTTTCTTCCAGCCTAAATGTGTGACCTCGTGTCCTATGCATAACCCTGTTTATGAATAGATTTCCTGATAATGGTTTGTACTGGCCCTAAATATATTTGTATAATGTTATATAATCCCCTTTGAGGAGCCGTTTTTCCAAACTAAACAGATTTAAATTTTTTAACCTTTCTTCGTAACTAAAATGCTCCATTCCTTTTATCAATTTTGTAGCTCGTCTCTGCACTTTTTCTAGTGTCATGATATCTTTCTTTAGAACAGGCTCCCAAAATTGCACAGCATATTCAAGGTGTGGTCTTACCAGCGATTTATAAAGAGGCAAAATTATATTTTCATCCCGAGAATTTATGCCCCTATTTATACATGACAAAACCTTACTGGCCTTAGCAACTGCAGATTGGCATTGCATATTGCTGCCTAATTTGTTGTCTATAACAATTCCCAAATCCTAAAAAAGACGAAAAAAATGGGGTGGGAAGTCCACTCACAACAAGTGGGTGGAGTACCTAACCCATTCAAAGATACCTCCTAGCGTAGAAAGTGACATATATAGGGTAAATAACCTTTATTGAAAGAATGCTAAGAAATAAACATAAAAACAGTAATAATAATACTTGTAATACTGGATCCCCCCAAAATAATATATAGAAAATAGTGAGCGCTTGCGCCTGTAGGGAACTGGGAAGGCTAATCCTATAGACACATACAGCTAAACATATAATTAAAGTAAGAAATAGAAAATTCTATCTAAATAAATATTAAATAGATATGTAGCTGCACGGGCTAGTCAAGTCCCATAAGGAAAGTGCATTGTTAAGGAGCTTAGATGGATAGATGGTAATCCAATAACAATAGAGACAGAACTCTAGGTAGGACTAAAGGCCCACAAACTTAAGTACCAGGGTGTCTAAATTTAAATAGGAAATTTCCTTAAGGAAGAAAAAGTATACATGAAATGAAGAACCCTCTCCCCAAACAGATGAAAAGGGGGGGGACGGGACCGCCTGAATCGCCCTAAAGAAACTCTCTAACCTAGAGTGAACAACACAGCTCCCTGCTGCTTCATGGCAGCCTAACCGAGTCCCTATATCACTATAAAGCGTGTTGATAGCGCTTGTGGGAGACCCAAAAAGTAAAAGTAAACAACTTAATTCAAAAGCATCGGCTGAAAATAATCTCGACGCGTGTTTCGGCGTTTGGAATACGCCTTTATCAAGAGCAGCCTGGTAAGTGGCTCGGGAACCAGTTATAAAGGCAAGTAGCCACACCCCCAAACATTAGAACCTCCAATCAGAACCCATAGTGGCGAAGACGTAACCGCTTACCTCCCCCGCAAACTGGACCAATCAAAGGAGGTAGGCGTGGTAATCACGTTACCTCCGTGTATCCTTCACGTGTGTGGTTATCCCTA